ACGTAACGTAATAGTCGACACTACGTACGTTAACCTAACTAAATTAAGTAACGTAAACTACTAACTAACTCTAAGTACTACTATGTAACTACTCTCTCTCTCTCTCTCTCTCTCCCCTTAAATTGGTGCTCCTACTCTCTCGCTCATTATTGTGATTAAATATGTTCTTACAGCGGAATGACCTTGTTGACATGTAGGCAGTGTGAAGTCACTCATCAGCTTGCCGTGCTTTATGTCACATTCAAGCATACCTGCTGAGATGCGGAATTCGCGTGGTTTGATTGAAGATTTGGTTCGAATATCTGTTGGCATTGAAGATGTTAACGACCTGATTGCAGACTTGGACAATGCCATTAAAACTGGGCCTCCATAATTTATTCAAAATGCTATGCTGCAAAAACTGGGAAAATGGTTTTGTTTTACTTCCGATGGTATGTTAGCATGGTGTATTTTTTTTTTTTTTTTTTCCTGTTAGTGAAAAATGATACCTTCACCTAGTTTGTTTTAGGTTTTTTTTTTTCTGGTAGCAAAAAATGATGCCTTTACCTAGTTTGTTTTAGGGCAAATTTCAAGGGTAGAATTCTTGTTCCTCACTCGTGCAAAACTGGGTGCCTTATCACTAAATCATATAGTCCATGGGCGTGTTAATGTTATGTTGTTGCATTAATTTGGAAGCTGTATTATTCATCGGTGCAGTAATTTTCGTTTCAATTATTGAATTTTATTTTTTTCTGAGATTGATTATGAAGAAGGGAGTGCACTCAAAATTTAAGGTCACACAAATGCCAAAAACATAGTTTTCTCGAAGTGGTTTCATTCTATTACAATGAAATGGTGGCATGAAATCATTGTGTATATATCTATATATATATATGGAAAAGTCTTCTCAACGTTTATAGGCAAAAATGAACAATGATTTTGCCTACCATCATCACCGTCTAAAGTTCATCGCATAGTCACAATTGTTTGATATTGTTTTTTTTTTTTTACAAATCGGAATGACTTGAAATTTTGAGCGTGTGTATATCTTAGTAAGACACATCTAATAAAAATATAAAAAAAATAATTCGTGAAAAATAATTGAACCAAAATGCCTTGAAAACTTTTTGGGGGGTATTTTGGTCAATGTTTTTCATGTAAAATATTTTTTTGATGTTTTTTGTAGATTCGTTTATTTTTTATGAATACATGTTCTAAATTTCAGCTCATTCCTATATATATGGGTTTGTCTAGAGTTAATAACTTTTCAAAATACAAAGGTTCGATGGGTGTATTTATCAAAACAATCATTACTTTTTTATTAAAAATTTATTTAAATAGATAATTTTACTATTAAGTGAAAATAAATTTGAAATTTTCACAAAAATACATGGGTGTGAGACTTGACTTTTTTAGATATATGTGTTAAATTTAATGGTGATATTTTGAAGTCTTACACATATGGGTGTAGAAAGGTCTTACAAGGTCATTTTCTTTTTGGACGTTAGTGTTTTGGAACTTTGTTTGTAGAGTAGTGTGCCTTTATCTTTTATTTAAACTTTTTTCCAATCTCTGAGTTGTACATTTAAAGATTCACCTAAATTCATAACATTACTAATATTGCTGTCAAATTGCTTGCGGTATGAGGAACTCAATTTGACATAAAAGAGTCGTTAGACCTCAATCGAAGTATATGATGACTCTTGAAACTGAATGTTCAAAATTATCATCCCCTCCCTGTATCATTCGGCTTCTCCTTGTGATACACGGCCTTCTTTTTGTTCTCTAGTTTCTTGTTAATACATCTCTCTGTTTATCATAGGCGTGAACTCCCTGTTCTCTCTCTACAATGTTATTCAAAAGCACAAACTCACCCTTTTCTTATCACTCATCTTCTCTAAGACTATTAAAAAATAAAATAATCCAACTTTGAAAACGTGTTGGATGGAGGTAAGGAAGTGAGTTACAAGATGTGAGATATGAAGAGGGAGGAGCCACATTAACAAAACCGTGGCAAGAAAACAAGGTGGGGTATAAAGTAATGCTAAGAAAGTGAGAAAAAAGGTTGTAGTACTTAAAAGTACCACAAAATGCAAATAGACCGCCAAAACAAAGGTAAAGTAAAATTATTTTGAAAATATAAAATAAATTGATCTAGCAATCCCCGATCAGTTTCAAAACAATTTAACTAGAAACAAACTATGTGAGCAAGATAAAGAGAGAAAATGCATATGTGAAGGTGATCTACAGACTTGAACTTCCAGATACTGTTATACATAACATGTACCGAGACAATGAGTGGACAAACCTTGAACTATGTCCATTATAGATAAGTCTCCCATTTACCATATTTTTTCTTTCAAAAACTGTGATTCTCTAAAAATGCTTGTGATTTTAAGGCCTTGCGTTGTTCTGGTCTTCATGAGTGCTTTGGAGAATGCTCAGTTCTCATAGGAAGCGGCATCCACTTCCACACTAATATATGTGAGTCAATAGAGGATGTTTTGCAATGCAACATCCCAGTCTAGGTTGTATATCATCTAGGCAAATGGAACCATACAGAGCAATGCTAAACCTCTCCATTCATTGGAGGCGGTTGTACATGGCGTACAAATTTATAAATTTTCATTGGATAAAATTTTTGGTACAAACATACATCATACATCACACAAGTGATTTATTTTTCCTTTTGAGCCTTGGACTTAGGATCTTTGTGTCCATAGGTACGATTCCCATCACTATGGGGCAAGATGCATATGGACTCCATTCCCATCCCTCTAGCTGTGTCCCAGACTTTATCCCTTACAAGGCCTTTAGTTAGTGGATCCACCAAGTTTCGATTAGAGTGAACAAGGAGTACTAAAATAACTTCATCTTCCAACAAAAGTCTCAACTGATTGTGCCTCAAACGAATATATCTAGATTTTCTAGAATCAATCTTACTTTTTGCTTGGTAAATGTCAGCTTCACTTCACTCTATATGGAGATTGCAAGCACAAGCTTAGAGACAAGTGGTACGTTGACAAACAAATTCCTTAGACATTCAGCATGTTTACTAGCGATTTATCATTCCATCTTGAATTTGGAGACACAAGTTTGCTTCTTGGAACCCCAAACAACGACACCCCCACCATAAGTGAAGATCCATATGCTAATAGACATGGATTCATCAGAACCTGTAATTCAATTTGTGTCGTATTACCCACCATAAATGAAGATCCATACACGAATAAACATGGATTCATCAGAATCCATAATTCAATTTGTGTCACTGCATCCTTCTAGTACAGTGTGCTCACATGCACAATGTAGGCCACAATTTATGGTTCCTTTAAGATATTTTAGGACCTCATAGACCACATTCCATTGCTCTTAACTTGGGTTTTAGGCATATTTGCTCAATTTACCTATGACAAAAGCTATATCAGATCTAGTACAAGATATTGCATAATTTATATATCCATTGACACTCATGTAGTCCAATTGGGAAACCGGAGTATCACGATTCTTTTAAAGTTTAATAGGGCCATCATATGGGGTCGAAACTAGTTGGCATTCAAAGTGATCAAATCTTTCAGCACTTTCTCTATATAGTGATTCTAAGTTTAAAACATACCCAGTTGGTTTTCTCACTATTTTAATTTCAAGCATCACATTAGCTTGCCCCCATGTCCTTCCCATTAAATTCAAAAGACAATAGTTTCTTAGTCTCCTCTATTCGTGCAGTATTGCTGCCTAGTATGACTTATCATCTACATATAGACAAATAATTACTACTGCACCATCGTAAACACTGGTGTATACACACGTATCAGCATCGTTGATCTGAAATCTGTGTGATAAAACAACTCCGTTGAATTTTTCATGCTATTGTTTGGGTGCTTGGTTCAAACCAAGCAGGGATTTTCTAAGTCTATAGACCTTGTGCTCTTATCCCTTAATGATAAACCTCTGTAGTTGCTCAATATAAATTTCTTAAAGGAATCAAAACCCTCCTTATATTTAAATCCTTTTGCAACCAAAGCATAAATATCAAAGAAATCAACACCCTCCTTATAGACATGGTTGCTATTCGAGCGACTAGAGCATAAGTATCAAAGAAATCAACACCCTCCTTATATTTAAATCCTTTTGCAACCAGTCTTGATTTGTATTTCATAATAGTACCATCCCCATTTATTTATTTTTGAAAACCTATTTACATCCTTAGGGCTTAGCACCAGGAGATAAATCCCCTAAATCCAAGTGTCATTTTTCTAGTATCGAGTTCATCTCATTGTTGATTGCCTCTCTACAAAAAAGGAGCGTCACATGAGGACACGGCTGGTTAGGTGCCTTGATCTCGCCCTCCGGGTCGGGTTGACCTGGTGGCATGGTTCTGGGTTCAAGATGGACCCGGGAGCTAATATTGCTCTCTCGGGAACCACGTAAAGAAGATGTGGGCAGGAGTACCAATCGGTGAGAGAGGAATTAGGGTCGTGAGGCGGGACTTACCTCACGTGGGTCCGTTACATGCTCAAGCTGGCTCGTGTGGGCACCTTCTTAGATCACGTTGGAAAGCCCCTCTGGCCTATGGCCGATTTGGAATCGTCTCCTTGACTTGTTCTCCTTTCCTGCAAACACACACACACATTAGAAGTACAAACGAGTGGGGCATAGGTCCCCACCTTGTTACAGTGTGAAGTGAAAGTGAGAGAAGAAGTTTAACCAGGCAACTAGACTGACACAGTGGCTAGACCAGTAGGTGATTGACTCAGTGTGGCAGCAAGACGGGTATGGTAACTCATACCGGCACAACGGCATTACTACTAGACGACGGAACCAACACCGACTAGCCTGACACGATGGCTAGCCTGTCATGGCAGTAAGACAGGCACGGTAACTCAGACCGGCTCAACGGCATTACGGCTAGACGAGAGAACCAACCCTGACCAGCCTGGCATGATGGCTAGCCTGTCGTGGCAGTAAGACGAGCATGTAACTCAGATTGGCACAACGCCATTACGGCTAGACGACAGAACCAACCCCGACCAGCCTTATAGGATGGTTAGCCTGTCGTGGCAGTAAGACGGGCACTGTAACTCAAACCGGCACAACGACATTACTGCTAGACAGCAAAGCTGGCATGACAACGCAAGGCTCAACCTGCCCTCTAGTCAAACAAGCAAAGAAGAGAAAGAGAAGAGATGAAGACTAGCTTGACTCTCACTAGGTCTTCAAAAAAAAAAAAAGATGAAAGTAAAAATAAAAGTGATGGTGAAATGAGAGTGATAGAGAAGGAGATGAAATGAAAATGAAAGAGATGGATTAAAATAGAATGAAGTGAAATAGAATAAATAAAATTAAGTGGAGTAAAATAAAATAAAAGAGATGGAAGAAAATAAAATAAGATGAGATGATTAAAATAAAATAAATAAATGAAGTAGAGTAAAGTATGGTGGGATAAAATGAGTGAAGCAAAATAAATGGAATGAAATGGAATGGAATAAAGTGAAGTAAATGAAATAAAATAAAATAAAAGGAAGGAGTAAGATGAAATAATATAAAAAGAAAGGGTAGAAGAAGTAAAATGTGATAATTTTAAAATAAAAACAAAAAGAGTTTAAAAGAGGGAGAGTTTGACATATGGAAAGGGATTAAATAAAATAGTATAAAAAAGGGAGAAAGTAGTTTGGTCAAGAGAGGTCTTATGTGAATGGGATGGGGCAATGATTTA